ATATGAATACCTAAGTATTACAAAAATAAACAAAGTTAGGTTGTCCGAATTAATTAATATAATATCTAAAACAGAATATAAATATATTTGCCATCTTAAAAATAAAAGATGAATAAAGAAGAATTCGCACTAGAAGAAAAAACATATGAAAATCCAGAAGGATTAAAAATAACAATAATATTTTCCAACTTAGGAAGAAGATATAAGAAAAACAAACTGTAAAACTAGAAGATAGTTTAACCGCAATGGTTAGACTAACAAAAAAAAACGAAGAAATAGACAGAAAACGAGAAATTAAAGAAATACAACAGCAAACTAAAGAAAAAATACAACAGATAGAAGAAGTAAAAAACACTAAAATAACAGAATTAGAAAAAGAATTAGAAATGCTAAAACAGCTATATGCTAATAAACTAAAAGAAAAAGAAAAACGTAAAGAAGAAGAACAAGAGCTAAGACTGACAAATGAGATAGAAAAATTTAAAATACAGTTAGAAAAGGTACAGGATAATCCACCAAATATAAGTATAAATGAAATAAATGACCAAAGTGATGATGACAAAGACATAGTAGAAAACTATTCACAAACAAGTGAAACGTACACAAAACTTATAGAAAAAACAGAAAAGATAAAAACAAACCCAGAAATAAACACAGGTGATATGGCCGAGGATAAACCAAGCATATCAGGAGTAAAAAATCCAAGACAATTAAACCCAACCTATTACAGAGTAAGTGATGATTCATACGATAGAAACAAAACATTATGGGATAAAAGGCTAAATAGAAAATGGACACCAAGGCAGATAACTGAACAATGTAATTTTTTGGATCTAGATTGTGTAGCAGATATAAATAAAACAATCCAATTATGGATAGGGTACATCTCAAAACAACTAATAGATAATAAAATAGCAATAGCTGAAACACCAGGATATATAGAAAGGACACTTATAGGAAGGGTAAAACTATGGTTACAAAATTTGTCAAGTGAAAGCTTAGATACATTAAGAAGTAATAAAAAACTTGATGGTACAGCTGCAACAACAGTTACAGATATATTGAATAAATATGAAATAGCAATAAGAAATGAGTTTAGTAGTATGACAACAGAAGTAGAAGAACAAAATAAAGAAAAAACTACAAATAGAAATTTAATGACAAAATTAGCAATATGTAATATGTGTTATATAGACGAATATACTTGTGCATTTAGAGACTATTATTATAAAGGAACATATAGTCCAGATGAAAGTAAGGAGATAAGAAAATTATATTTTACAAAATTACCAGAACCATTTAGCTCAAAAATAATAAAAAAATTGGAATGAAGCAGAACTAGCAGATACTCTAGGAGCTCGAATAAAATTTCTACAAAACCGGTTTATAGAATTATGTAAAAAATATAAAGAAAATATCAAAATAGATAAAATATTAGTAAAAAATCTGGCATGCTGCAAAAGTAGAATAGCACCCCAATTTGGCTGCACAGATAAATATTACAAAAAGGAAGGAAAAAGAAAGAGATATAAATCAAAATATTCAAAATATAAGTATAAGAAACCAAGAGGAAGATATTATGTAAAAAATTACAAACATAAAAAACCATATAGGAAAAAGAAAAAACTAACAGAATGTACTTGCTACAATTGTGGAAAGCTAGGACACTTAGCTAAAGATTACAGATTACCGAAAAACCCAAAGAAGAAACAAATTACCGAAATAATGATAGATAATGATAATTATACACAAATAGAATATGTAGATTATGAATTGAGCAGTGAAGACAGCATATATGAGATATCAGAAAACGAGTTCTCAGAAAATGAATAGGAAATAAGTAATAATGAAATAGATGAATTAGATGAAGAAAATTATGACTGAAAAAGATATACATATTATACAACAAGAAGAACACCAAGATGAACAATCTTCAGAACAAAAAATAATTTTTGGTGCCACTATATTTGAACAAATAAAAGGAAAAGAATTGGATCTAAGCATAGACAAAATATTAGAAGTACCAACAATAAAGAATTGGTTTAAAAGACAGAAAGAAGAATACTATGTAGTAAGCCAAAGAGAACATATAATAGATTGTAAATACATCAAAGGTAAAGCACAAATACCAATTTTAAATAAAAGACTACTAAATAAAGAAATACAAGATATAAAAGCAAAAAATCCAATAAAATACGTACACTTAGGAGGAACAGAGATACTAATAAAAGCATGTTTTAGAGAAGGAATAGATACCCCTATAAAAATATACTTGGCAGACGATAGAATTGTACAACCCATAGAAAAGAGTATAATAAGTGCAGTGAGAGGTAACTTAATATACCAAAAATTCAAATTCATAATAAGTGCCAACTATTCAGTAGCAATAGATGACAAAAATAAAGATAAATTATTAGTGCTATACTGGAAAATGTCTGGAATAGAACTAGCACCAGGAAGTAAAATATTCACAGCAAAATGTAAAAATCTATATGTCTTAACAACAAAACATAAGATAACAGCTAAAAATAAAATAAATAAAATAAAAATAGAAAATCCATTCGAAAGAATAGTATCAGTTATAGACAACAATGATTACAGTTATACAGAAATAGACATGGATGAAGATTTAGAAATAGTAAAAGAAAGATTAAGCACATCAAAACGAATAAATAATGAAATGCCAGAAACATCATCAAGAAGTACATCAAGAAGTACATCAAAAAGAATAAATTATACCACTCCACAAAAATTAATAGAACAAAAAATAGAAGAAATAAACCCACATCATTATTATATAACAGGAATAATGGACCAAAGAAAATATTTAATACTAATAAATACAGGGCAGGAAGAGAATTATGTTATAAGAGAACTAATACCAGAACAAGAGATAGTAACAATAGAACAACAAAATTCAGAACTACCAAAAGCGTTAAGAAAAAACGAAGAAACAACTGAAAAAGAATTAATTATTGGAGGAATACCAATATTAATAAATTTTAAAATATATCAAGGAGATAAAAATATTACACTAGGGATAAAATGGTTAGAAAAAGTCAAACCATATAAATTAGAAGATAGGCAATTAACAATAAGTTATGAAAATAAGAAAATAATAATAAAAAGAACTTTGATATAATGCCAAAGATATACATACTTTCCAAAATAATAGTAGAAGGATATTATAATAGATATTATACACCTATGATGGATAAAGGAGCAGAAGCTAACATGTGTAGACATAATTGTCTACCAGAAAGTAAATGGGAAAAGCTAAAAAAACCCCATAGTAGTAACAGGATTTAACAATGAGGGAAGTATGATAACATACAAAGCAAGAAATCTAAAAATACAAATATGGGATAAAATATT